TACATTTTCTCTGATAAGATAGCCTAAATCCACTTAAGGGCTCTAAATTCAATTTATTTGCAACACATAACATTAGAGTTTCATAAGTTAACTTTTTTAATGACAATTTTAGTTGAAGATTCATGGGTAAAGGCATATATTGTAAAACACCATGAACATTCTCCCATGACCCTCCAAAACACAAATCTATCCAAACATGATCAACATTAGATGATTTCATTATTGTAAATTAATTTACTAAACAAACGAGCTGCGAAACTAAAACTTGTTGTCGGATGGGGAAGGATGTCATTGGATATAGGAACGGATGTCGTCGGAGAGAGAGATAGATGGAGATGGAATGAGTTGTGATTTAGGGATTTAGGTTATGAGTTATTTCTGCTGCGTAGTTATATACCCAAAACATTTGTGTTGCGAAACTAAAACCTGTTGCGAATTTGAAATTCAGTGTTGTGACAGTCAGCATCGCATTGCGATAGTCAGAATCGCGTTGCGATAGTCATAATCGCATTGCGATTTACATATTCGCATTGCGATAGTCAGAAAATCGCAACGCGAATTTTGGAAATCGCAATGCGATAGTCAGAATTGCGTTGCAAATCTGGAAACTGATTTGCGATATCGGAGATCGCATTGCGAATTATCGATCGCATTGCGATTTAGTTGGTCATTTTGGCAAATCCAAAAAAAGTTGGTTAAAATCGTATATTATAAGTCATTTTTGGTCACTGAGGTTATTTTCTCAAAGTTTTATGCCATATACATTAAAGTTAATTATATCATACGTCCTCAAATTATGTTTCTCATTTTAATTTAATCCTAAATTTCTAAATATTCTAATTTCATCCTTAAACTATAAATATCATTTTAAAAAAGTCCTCAAACTTTTGCACATATTAGTTTCATCCCCTAACTATATCCTTCATTCTAAATTGCTCCCCAAACATTTTAAACATTTCAATATCATTCCAAATTATATGTATAAATTAATCACATTCCATGTAAGTAAAATCGTTAGGTCAAGTTATATTATATGTTTGAAAAAAAATAAAGTTTATGTTAAATTATGGTTAAAATTCATTTCATATTTGGATGAATATGGGATGAAAGTGGAAGGTTCAAATATTTAAGGACTATTTTAAAATGAGTATCATAGTTTGACTATGAAATTAGAATATTAAAAAGTATAGGAACTAAATAAAACGATGATTATAGTTTATGGACATATGATGCAATTAAATCTATACATTAATATATACAACATTTTTGACGAATAAAATAGAGATATTAGATTAACTTAAAATTTCATTTTACAATAAGCATAGCAATATTGAAATTCAACGATTCAACTATTAAAATATCAGTGTACAAAAAGTTATAAAAGCATGTAACCATATTAATTTGACATAATAATGAAATTATCCTCAACGTTTGTACAAATGATCACTTTATATATAATATTTTTATTCGATATATGTATTACACGAGCTTATTTTTTTTATCATTGTTTCATTTAATAAAGTATTTTTATTTCAAGTAAAAATAAATAAATATAAAATATTATAAAATTGTATAATATTAACACATAATTTGAATAATTTTATATTAAAAATATTTTCTTTTTGGTTTATGCATCCCACTTTTGTTTTGTTTTATTGAAAAAAGTTAGTTTAACATTGATACCACACCAATAATATCTAACAAAAAATTTTGGCATGAATAACAATAATTTTGCTTATTTACTGTTTCTTTATTTTTGTTTAGTTACCAATAATTTTGATGTTGGTGGCTTAATACCAGTTTTTTTCCTTCCTTTTTTAATTTTTAATAAGATTAACTCTTCATTCGTAGTACGTTTTTCTTTACCTTTGTGATATGTTTTTTTGTCTGTTTAGTCATTCTTTTTATTTTATGTTTTCTTAGGGTTTGATATAACACACCATGATTAATCAAGATGACGTTTATATGTAATATTGTTGATCTTCCCTACTATAGACCATCATAATGAATTTGGATAGGTAGTTTACATTCGTGGATAGTCTCTCGCGACGCTCGACACTGATTTGTAATTCTCAGTGGTCTTTTAATAGCTTAGTCCCTTATGTAGTTTGTTTGTCGATGTAGTCAGATGTGTTCATATCTATTTTTCGTTCAAGTCTTTTGGTTGATTTTTTAACATTTCCCATGTATGGTCATTGTATCTAAATTCTTTTGTTAATTTTATAGGAAAGTGTCCAAATTATATATTTAGTTTACAATAATAATTATAAAACCTTAGTGTAGTTTTGGATAATTTCGTTTTTTAATAAGACAAGCTACTTATATTCAGAAAAAAATCATGACCACAAAATCAATGCCTCGTAACTGATTGACCTTTTAAGTGGTTTGTCCTAAACAAAAATACAAACTCATCAAGTAGCGTCAGTGGTTAAAAGGAATATTATTATTCCTAGAAATCTTAGGTTTGAGTATTACGTCTGCATGATATTCATGAGTTGTTAATGATTAAAAAATTATAAAAAATACTATCTTATAATTACTATACTCTTTTAAAAAAACTATACGCTAATTTAGAATAGGATGATTCTTCCATGCTCGACGAGCGGCGATGAACACCATTAACAATGAGCACTAATAAATTAATTTATAAAATTTTAAAATTCTAAAGCACTCAACGTATAATTATAAATTAGTTGAAAATTAAAGGTAAATTATTTAAAATAAAGGATAAAAGGATAAACTATACAAGTTACCACCTATCTATTACCCCTTTTCATTTTGACCATTATTTTTGAAATTTTGTCAATCAGGTTACTCAACTATTTAAATGCATTCAATTAAGCCACTTGCCATTAATATATAACGGAGAAGCTGATGTGACAGTTAAAATATTTGATATAATTACACATTTGATCATTGTTACTTACATATTCTATCAATTGGTCCTAATTTTAATAAATTAAAATAAATTTAACCTCAAATCAAATGGTGTCATATGTCACTGGTGCAAGTATAATGACATGTGTCACTAGTCCAAATTTTAACTTATTACATGGCAAACCGAAGAAGAGGCTTGAGTTCGAGCCATTGTTGCAATTGTCAACTCCATGGTGGAGCTTTCACGGGAAAATCAAACGGTAAACCTAAACGAGATCAAATCCGCCGCGTGTCGGAAATATGGACTAGCACGCGCCCCTAATCTAGTGGAGATGATCGCTGCCCTTCTCGAGTTGGATCGGGAGTCCTTGCTTCCTAATCTTCGAGCCAAACCAGTATGAACCGCCTCCGGAATCACGGTCGTGGCGGTAATGTCGGAGCTGAATCAGTGCTCGCATATTGCAACTACAGGGAATATGTGTTTATTGCCCAGGTCGACCGCACTTGGATTTTGAGTATAGTACGCAGTCATATACGAGATATGAACCAACTAGCATGCGATCAATTCGAGCCAGGTAAGCGTTTTTGTCGTTCTTTTTCACTTTGTTTTCTTTGAGCTCCTTGATTTTCTGGTTTCATATTATGTTATGTTTGGGTACTTGGACATCCATAAATTATGAATGAATTAGTTGAGACTCAAACATATACATATTGTCAAATTCATAAATAGTTTAAGAGTTTCAAATTCTATACTGAATAGTTATCTAACAAATCCATGAATTTGAGAAATAATCTTGAATATTACCATTGCATTATTTTTAAATTCGTAATCTAAAACTTTAAATCTAAATTCCAAAATGCTACCTCGGAAACTTTTGAAACTCAAATATATAGTTAGTTTTTTGTTCATTGAAATTAGTGGGAGCTGATTGTTGGCATTGGGTTGAATTGAATGGTGGGTGAAAAGGTCACGTTTTGCATAGTCAAATTGGCTTGTAATTTGTTTGTTGCTATTACTAGCTTTGAGGTTTAAGTTTTTTTTTTTGATTTATTTAAATTAGGATCAAATTGATAGAATATATAAATAACAGTGACCAAATGTGTAATTATACCAAATATTTTAACTTTCACATCACCTTCTCCTTTAAATATTGACGGCAAGTGGATTAATTGAATGCATTTAAATAGTTGAGTGACCTAATTGAAAAAAAAAAAAATATTGCTCAAAATGAAAAGGTGCAATAGTTTGGTGACTATTGTTATAGTTTACCCTTTATTTTAAATACCTTTAATTTTTTTAACTAATTTATAATTATGCATTGAACCCTTTAGAGTTTTAAATTTTATAAATTAAATTAATAGTGCTCATCGTTAGTGATACTCATTGATGCTCATTGTCCGTTGTAGAATTTTCCTTTAGAATACTGCACAATCGATTTCTTCTTCCTCTTACTAACTTCCATTACATCCATTCAAATGAATTAATTTCCATGATCAAATCCTGTCATACAAAAGAGCGCCACATGGATACCAGGTAAATAGTATTGTTATTAAGGAAGTAAACAAGCTATTTTAATTTGAATATTTTTGAATTTAACTCGACTAAAAAACTTGAGTTTAAAATTTTCAAACTTTACTCAAAATCAAAAATTTAAATTCAACTTGAACACAAATTTGAACTTTAAATACATAAAAATTTTATATATATATTTTTAAAAATACAACATATAAATTGTAGTACTGTTAATAACTTAAATAAAAAATCAAAAATTTTAATATATTACTTTTTTCAAATTACTCACGAACTTCTTCAATCAAACATCTAATAATTCAATTGAATTCATTAAGGATTTAGGTTGAAATTCAAATCGAGTTCATCGGACTGTAATGTTTACCAAACTTTAATTAAATCGATCTCAAGTATCGTGTAATCTCTCTGGCCTCATTTACATTCCTAATTTTACGGATCTATTGAGTCCATTTTCTTAGAATCTCAAATTTTATAGAATACTAGCCAAACATAACCGATAACAGTGAAACAATTTTTCAAGTTAATAATGTACTTTAAATGGCCAACGCAAGGCAACTTTCTGAACTTTGAGGAAAGACAAGAAAATCATTGGTTCATACAGAAATTTCACCATTGGAAAATCGATATGAGAGAGCACTAACAAGTTAAAAAAAAGTAACATAAAATTATCAATTTTCCTTCTAATGTCTTAACTCAAAAGCAGGAAGGCTGTTTGAATCCCTCAAGGGCATGTTTATGCAGGCCACTTATCGAGGCGGTGGCGGCGGGGCAGGTGGCATTTGTGACTTCGCAAAGCCAACCCATGCAACAATGCCAACAGCAAGGATTACCCATCCAAATATATCATATTTGAGATCACTGCTTTTTTTATTCTTTGCGGCAGTCTGCAAAAGGTAAACAGGCATATATATATAAAAAACAAATAGGCAAAAAGTCATCACACAAGAGCATATCCTTAACAGAACATGCATAATAATCACTTTATCGATCACGAACAAAAGCATTTCGCGGGAAATGGAGAAAATCCATCATTTCAGATCAGAATCCCGCACAAGCGAGATACACGAATTCTTATTCCCATCACACAGGATCAACATTTGCATCATGATATAGACTCATTAGATGTTTGTGTATGTGTATTTTTTGCGTGCTGTACTGATCTCGATTGCTTCAATTAAAACATAATGGCTCCAAAGCACAAAAGCATACGAGCAGCATTCCCATTTCCTACATGCTTATTTTTTCTAACTTCCTAATGCAAGATTGGTCCTTTGGCCATTGTATAAAATTTCTTTTGCGACTTAATATATATCACACATTATCTCTACGGCAATTTCCTCTCTGCCTACTCTAATCTTAAGATTAATTTGATACCAGTCTGCCTCAGCTCTCGATTATCAACCAAGCCTAATCTAAAAAATCACCAGTTTTATAATCTTTCCTGCACTCAGATCCCTAAAGAAAAAGAAATTATGTGGCAAAGCACCCATCAAACTAAGCAATACATATCACGCCTTGCACAGCAAGAACCCTATAATAAAACACAAACCATAAGCCAGAACTTTCTCCAAGGGGGTTAGGCATGCACTTACATATGATGCATGTTACATATAGAAGGGTATATCCCATAAATTAACTATAATCTGCAATCCATCAAACACTCTAAGCTGTTTCGCGGAAGCTATAGAAAATATCAATTGTAGGTCAACAGAAAACAGAGACAAAAGAACAACTAAGCTATATCTGGATCTTTTAAAATGCATATGTAAACAGTGTAAAAATCATCAATCAATTAAGCATATCACGTTACAACATAAGCCACATGGAGATTAGAGGAAAAGAGAGGGAGAAAGTGCAGATAAGAAGACGGGAAAAAAGAAATGAAGAAATTAAGATTGCCTTAGTTGAACTGGAGGAAGTAGAAGTAGAAGGTCCAGCCCCAAGCGTTTGTTGACCTAAACCATGCTTAACGATTTCCTGGTGTAATTCTGGAGCCTGGAAAAGAAAAAGAAAACTTTTAACACAGAAACAACCAAAGACATTTGATGAACCAAAAGTAAGGACAACAACGGACCAAACTACAGATGGCTCCGTTTCAAATTTGAACTTACCACCCTCTCTGACTGAAGGGTGAAGCTTTTAATGGATTCACATTTACAAACTAATCAACAATTAACGTTTCCAAAGAAAATCTCTACCAAATCTGGTCAAATAATCCATCCCACACTTTCACCGCAAAATGCATGAAGTTTCCACATGAAAAACAAGCAATACTGAAGGACAATCCAACATAAAGAAGGGAGAGGGGAAAGTACCTTAGCAGATATCTCTAAAGATTTGAGGTAAATTTCATTGCTCGGGTCCTACAAATACGCATACAATAGCAACAATGTAAAAAATATTTTGAGCACTTAAGAAAGTACATACACATACCCAATCAAAACTATGATAATTGATGACAGATCTTTGATAAACAAAAACTAAATAACCTCATCAACAGCTTGCTGGAAATATTGAGCAGCCTTTTCAAAATAAGGCCTTGCGTCGTCCTCCTTGCTAGTCAGAAACGCAAAAGAAGTCTGAGCATTTCCCAAACACCATAAAGCATCATGCTTTTTAGGGTTTATCGATAAAGCCTCCTCTAGTTTCGAAATAGCATCTATTTAAAAAAAACACAAACAATCAATATCTAATACAAATCAATTGCCTCACCAATTACAACTAACCTTCAATAGCCAACAAAACAAATTATTGAATTCAAAAAAAAAATAATATATATTCATTTATATGTATGAGAACCTTGAATCATTTTCTGGGAATCACCGACACTTTGAAACTGAGACAACTCTAGTAAAGCTCCGGCCCATCTGGTCAAATTCTGCATACAAAAACATAATAAAAATAGGAAAAAAAATAATTGGAATTGCAAGGAAAAGAAAACAGAAGCCAACATCGGCGTCTAGAGGATGGAAGCGTAAGTAGCCTCGGAAATTTTACGAGCTTGCTCGAAAAATAGCAGCCTATCGAGTTCGCTCGACATTTCCATGGCTGCTCTTTTTTGGGGGTTAGTTAGCGATCTTTGGTATAAGCTTTCTGCACGGACAACTCTCAGAGCGGATTCAAGTGAACTCTCCGCTGTCCTAAAGAACACTTTTTGTTTACTGTAGCAGCTGGGCTTTTTTTCATTCATTGAAATGAAACATTTTCTCCTATACACCAGCTTTTGGGCCTCCCTTGTGCTTTTTTGTACCCAAAATTCATGCATTGTTTAGGGTAAAATACAAAGTTTTGTACCTCGGTTGTGACTTTTGTTTCATTTTAATTACCTAATTATTGTGTTTTGGTTACATTATGGTCATTTATCGTTAATAAATTAATAAAACTATTGATATGACTTTTGTTTTCAATTTTTCAACAATGATGTGTTATTACTTATGATGACACATCGGTATCACTATTAATTTTAACGGTGGGTGATCAAAATGAAAGAAAAATATAACATTAAATATGTTTTTGAAACAAAAAATAGTTTGGTGGCCAAACGGAACAAAAGTAATTGTTGAGTTACTAAACGTGTAATTTACCCTATTGTTTAATGTTAAAAGTTAGGATAAACTACGTACTTAGTCATGTACATATTCCCGCCATTATGCTTTCCTCATATGATTATTTTTATTAAATCTCATATCTAAGGTTATATTGTGATTCTGTTATGGTCACTCACAGTTAAAAAATAAACACAACTTTTGACATGACAATTTTTGTTTTTATTTTTCAATGATGACGTGAAATTACCTTATGATGACACAACTATGCTTCTGTTTATTTTCTAACAACAAGTGACCGAAACGGAACCAAAACGTAATTTTAAGTATGATTTATAAAACAATTTTGAATAATCAACGAAATCCATGACTAAATATGTAGTTTATCTTTATACTTTAGACTTAATACCAAAATAAACGTCCAAACTATACCTCTTTCCCCAAATAGGTGTCTTAACTATTTTTTGATTCATCCTGGTGCCTAACGTTACAAACATTACCCATTTAGGTGCCCGAACCGTCAACGGTGTCAATTCTTCATAAATGACACGTGTCACAACTCGATAATTTTAAAAAATTTATTTAAAAATAAAATATGAAAATTATATATATTAAAAAGAAAACACAAATTCTAAAATAAACCCAAAACTTTGAAAACCTTCATTTCAACTCCTAAACGCACACCGATCGCTACCTTTTGCCGTCAACGAAGGTCCACCCGACCTCCCCTCCCCTTGGCGACCAAAACCCCCATGAAATCGTGATCGATCTATGGCTTATCGACGACGAATCAACGTTTTATACCGCACTAACACTAGGATGAAAATCGTAATCCTACGTGATTTTGATAGCTAATCAACGAAAACCACAACAACGTATAAGTAGTAGGATGGTAGGGACTATGTCGGTGGCGTTAGTCGTGGCCGGAAAGGGCGGTAGAGGCAGATTAAGGTTAGAATTGGGATTTTGGGGTTGTTTTATAATATAAGAAAAGTTAGTGTTTTTAATAAATATCATAATATTTTTAATATTAAAAAAAATAAATTTCAAAATACCAGATTGTTACACGTGCCACTTAACGGGGGAAATTAACGTCATTGACGGCCCGGGAACCTAAATGGGTAATGTTTGTAACGTTAGGCACCTGGATGAGTAAAAAAATAGTTTAGGCACCTATTTGAGAAAATGGTATAGTTTAGGCACTTATTTTGATATTAAGCCTATAATTTATATATTTTCACTCAATTGGTAAAATCATTATTGCTTCAACTTGGAGGATACAGACTCGAACTCGCGTAATTTTCTTAGTTAGGGTTATCAATTTCTTAATCTGGTTAATACTTTCCTTTATTTGGAGATTAGCAGTTTAGCGACTCAACGTTCCTATGGTTATATACTTTGTATAACAATAACAATTAATGATATAGAAAAAAGTTGGATATGTTGTTGTATTCTTATCATATTTTATATTGCATTTTATTCCTTTTTTCTCTGATGCCTAAATTTTACAGGCCACTATAGCAAAACAGATTAAATGGTTCCATTGTATATATGTTAACTATACTACACTGCCATAGAATCGAAACATAGCAAAACCATAGGAAATCTTTCTTTTATAATATCATTCTCAAACGGCCTGCATTTAAACGATTTTTCAGTGTTTCTAACTACAATTTTTCTATCAAGAAATTTACAAAAAAACCAATAATCGGCAAGTTTTACTAATGACTATTAGCTCGCTACTTGCATTTTATATTACTAACATTCTCTATGCTATTTTGAACCTTTGCTTTGTTGAGAGAAATCAAGATGCTTCAGTTGGAGAAAACACACATACTTGTTGTCGGAACTAAATGAACCAACCGTGGGAAGGGACTTGGTCAAGGTATCGGTGAATTGTTGATGCGTCATTATATAGTTGGTAATTCAAAATCTTATCTCGAATTAAAAGAAGATCTAATTCCACATGTTTGGTCTTGGCATGATGACATTGATTTCAACTCAGATATTGTAGTGGCATTGTCAGTTTTGTTAGAAAATAGTACTGTTGCAAAACAACACCATTAGCACTGACTACCAAGTAATAATCAAATAATGAAATAAATGAAACGATTTATTGTGTAGTTGTATGGAAGTCACTGCCTTAACAGCAAATTCGTCTGGATTGATGTAATTTTGAAAATGGACGTTGCCCCTCAAGGTTAACACAGTCTTCCAAACTTCTTACACCCGAAGTGAGGAAGTTAATCCAACTTGTATTGCCTCTTTTCAATCAAATATTTTCGAAGAAGGAAATCTAGAAACCATCAATTGTCTATCAAATAGGGAGAAAACTATCCCTTTCATAGGAGTAGTGGAGGGTTAAAATTGTCAAACGACAACTACCCACTCCAACCACTCCTAACTATGGGTAACTAACTCCCTAAAAATAATTATCCAATATTTACATTACTAACAATCCCCAAATAATGCAAATAAGTAGATAATTATGAATACAAGAAAAGAGCAACAACGAAATTAATCGCTTAAGTATTAGTGAACGTATCTGGAACTAATACATAGTAGAATGAGCAATTCTTCTCTTAACAGGTGAAAGAATCTGGGACTTGTTAAAATAGGAGTAAACTCACAACACACAACTAACTTTTTAACAAAGTGAATTTCGCGATAGATCAATAAATTTAGCCAAATATACCTAAGGATGCTGGTAACAGCTCTAGAAAGATCGCCCAAAGTCTTTCATAGAAGGTGGCTAATCCTTCACACTTACTGTAATACCCTAAAATTTTGCTAGTGACCAAAATATAATTTTTGAAAGTTTAGTGGCTAAATTATAAATTTTGGAAAAGTTTAGGGACCAAAGTGTAGCTTTCAAAAGTTATGCATTTTGACCCCGTAAATGAATAGTTCACCCTAAGAATGATGTTTACATGGGAATCAGATTTTTGATCCAGATTTTGTATTAAAAGCTAAAAAGAGGAAAGTTTAGTAAAAATTCGGATAATCGGATCGAATCAGAATTTTGAGAAATTTTGAAGGATGATAAATTAAGGTTAGAAATATTATTTTCATATTTTAAAATGATCGAAAATAATATGGAGCATTGGATTTGAGAATTATTTTCCATGTTAATTATGGATCGTTGGATGAAAATGGCTAGATTAGAAATTTTGAAAAATGCATGGGTAAAGTTGTAAATGGAAAAGTAATTTGTTAATATTTGACTCTGGAAGATGATAATTAACATGTTAAAAGTTATTATGGTAATTATCAAGATTCATTAAGGATATAATTGCCATTTCCCATTAAATGAGTTTTAAATTAATTTAAACTTAATAAATGACAAATATACATGAAATTAATTAGAAATTTCATGATAACTTGTTCATATTCAACCTCCATTTCCATGTAATCCTTCCTAAGGTAAGATAAATTTTATTTTTGATTTTAAAGCAAATTCCTTAGGTTTTTGGATTAAAGCGTGAAATAGAAAATTGATCTATTCGAAGTGCTCTATCATTTGGTACCAATTATGCATGCTAATCATGCTTGAAATCACAAGTTCATGAATATGATGGATGAAAGGGATGTTAGTATTTATGAATTGATGATAGATTTTGATTTTGTTGATGTTTTAGAGTTGTTTCCAAGCTTGTGTGATGATTAAAATACTTGAAATAAAGCATTAATTGGTTTAACCATAACCTAGGGTTTTGAGAAATTTGTGATTTGGTTAAATTATGTTAGGGGTTTGATTGTAGAAGCTTTGAGATGTTGTTTACAATTGAATTCATACTTGAATCAAATTGGAAATTAATGAATCCTAAACCCTAAGTGTTCAGCCTAGAGGAATAAATTAGGGAAAAATTATGGAAACTTTCCCTAAGCTTAGAAATGATATATAGAAGGTTCTACAAGCTTTAGAATGTTGCTTGGACCAATTTGTTATTTGGTACAAGTACAGGGACCTTTTCATAATTTATGAAAATTATGGGATTGATGTGCAATTTTTCAATAGTTATTTTACTATTATGGAATTTAAGGTTAGAAAGTTGAATTTGATTTAGAAAGTTGGTAACGTTTGAGGACCAAATCATAAATATGGAAAAGTTGTGAATTTAAATGAAATCATTGTTGAGGTATTATGTTTAATGAAATGCTGGAATATTTAATTATGTTAATTGAAGCTTGAATTGAAGAAAAATGACAATGGACCATTTTGAATAAAATGGAAAATTTGAGATGAATTCTAAAAGAATTCATAATTAGTGGTTAAAATGTAAAGTTTGAAAATATTATGTGTAGTATTGATGAATTTGGTTAAAAGGGACTTGAATGGTCAATTTGAAGTGTTAAGGTTGACATTTATGTTGTGGGATGAAATTAGTGTCGAATGAGCATCAAAATATTTTTAGGAATTTATTTTCTATTATGTTCCTATGTTAGTAAGATTCTAACATGTGGTTTGAAATCTATATGTTTTGCAAATGGTGTTCATTTAGTTTGTGATTGAAATCAAGATCAAGCAATATTAAACCTAAGGAGAAGCTTAAGGATGAAAT